GCTTTGCTCCTGATGTGCGGGCCAGTTTCTAACAGGCCATGGATCAGTACTGGTCCGCAGCCCGGGGGTTGGGGACCGCTGTTTTAGAGGACAGCCCTTAGGGTCATTGCAGGAAGTCAGTAAACTGACAAAGGAGGACTCTCCTCTCAGGGGCTTTGGTGGCAAAACCTCCAACAAACCTTAAACCCTGGAAGACAAACATTCAACAACATCCTGCAGCCAGACGTTTCTCCTGCCTTTCCAGGCGAGAGGAAACTTTATCTGCAGTTTCTTTTTACTTAAACAGTCAACAGAGTGGAATGTTTACAAAGAACCGTCGTCTCATAGCACAAAGATGAGCAGGGACAGATGGGAAAGGGTCGCTGTGGATGTGTGAAAGGGTGATTTCCCGCCACAGTCAGACCCTGCTCATGCTTTCCCTGTACTTCTACCTCCCCCTCTTACTGTCTAGTGAGAGAGGATGCTCTGGAGACTTCTGTTACCCCAGAGCACTGAGCCTGGGGTGGGGGAGGGGCGTAGCATGCCGTCTCTGACCCCTGTTTGCAGACCAGGAGGCTGAGGACGGGCGGGCCAGGAAGTGGCAGTGGGATCATCACTGTGGACTCTGGCCTGACCCCGCAACAGTCTCAGGGGCAGGAGCGGGGGGCTGCTGCGTAGAGAAACGGCATCTGCCTCTGAGGTCTTCACTGTCATTGCCCTGATGCTGTATCTTAGACTCACTAGGAAGCGTGAAGAACAGCGTACTGAACGTTCCTGTGGTTCCTGTGTACCCACTAGACACTTAAGAAATAACCCGGTGCCCATTTAGAAACAATGAAACAACTCATGCAGTGGAGGTCCCCCGCGCGCGCCCCTCCCCCGCGCGACCCCGACTGATGCCCTTGGCCGTGTGTGTGTGTTTCCTTATCCTCTGACGAAGTGCATGGGTAGCAGCAGGTCACATACGTTATCGCTCCAGGTCTTTACACTTCACGTACATGTCTCCCCACAGTGGTCTTTATCCCAGTGTTGCCGGGTTTCGGACATGAAGCCTAAACCCACGCCTTCCCTTTGTCTTGGGCGGGGCGGGCGGAGGGTCGAGGATGCTGCGGAGGGCGTGCAGTCATTCGGCTGCGGGCAAAATGGTTTTACGGAACACTGGCTGCAGAATGACGCCTCCTCGATCATTTAAGTTTCCCCTCTGTGAAACAACTCCGGTGACAGGAGGGAGGCAGAGCGTGGGCGGTGGCAGCGGGAAGGGCGGCCGGGAAGGCCCCCTCCGTGTTGACAGCGGCACCTCTTCCCTGCAGTGAAGCCCACGTTCCTTGGGACGCGGGTCTTCGAAGACTATGACCTGCAGCGGCTGGTGGACTACATCGACTGGAAGCCTTTCTTTGATGTGTGGCAGCTTCGGGGCAAGTACCCGAATCGAGGCTTCCCCAAGATATTTAACGACAAAACCGTAGGTGAGTTCAGTGAGTCCGTCCTTCCTGCGCCCTTGTCGGACGCACGGAGCTGGGGCTCTGAGGTGGGAGCAGAGCGTGAGCGCTGCGCCTGGCGTCAGCAGGACTCGGTTCTCTGTCGTCATGTAACGTAGGATGTTGTTTACCGGCTCGGCTCTTTAATGGTCTTTATGTATCAACCAAATTGGACAGCTTATCCATTCTTTGATAAATGATTATCGAGGTCAGTTACATACCGGCCTCTGTGCTGGGCACTGCAGCCGCAGTGAAGGGGGACCCAGGCTTCTGTGGACACAAGATAAGATGGACCTCAGCCCGGGAGGTCAGCGGCGGCTTCCTGGAGGAGGTGCTGTTTGAACTGCTTTTTGAAGAGTAAGTGGGCGTTACTGAGGCTGGGACTGGAGATGAGGTGATGTTAAAGGACATTCCGGGCAGAGGGACGGACGTGAGAAGGCAGGCTCACCTGCCGATTTGGAGAGCTGCGAGGGCTCCGTCGCGCCTGGCGCATTGCAGGGGAAGGGCCATTGGGGGCGCTGACCTGGAGAAGTGAGCAGGTCCATAAACCGCTAGCCCCATTTCTCGCTTCCAACCCCACCCCCAGACCTGCCCCTAGGGACGTGGGGTCAGATGCTAAGGGGATGAGGTAACAGCCCCATCAGAGCAGGATGGAGGGGACTGGTAGAATCATGGGATCAGGGCCGAGGAGAGCCTTAGAAACTGTCCCCCACCTGCCCCCCGGAGGGTCCCCCGTGTGTGTTAGGACTGCAACCCAGCAGTTCAGGCCAGCCGGGGCTGCAGCAGGCGGGAGGGAGCTTCTCCTTCCGACTGCTCCTGAATGACCCCAGACAAGCGGCACAGTGGCCAAAGGACAGCTGGACAGCCTATGCCCTTGACAAAGGACTGAAGACCCTGCTGGCTCTTACCTGGGCGAGGCAGCTCAGTGTCACATAGTCAGAAACTGAGAGGAGGGCGACCTGGGAGCCTGGCCTCCTGTGAAGGTGAGAGCCTGTGGGAGCCCTTGAGCTGAGGCCACTTAGAGAGGGGTTGGGACCACCTGACTCCACGTCCCCAGAGGCCCCTGTGAGGTCAGTGGAATTGTATGTGCATGAGGAGCATCGGTGACAGAAGGCTTCGGCCAGCTTCGTTTCCTCTGTGTGACAGACGCCTCTGGCTCTCTGCTATGGGTTAAATGGAAAAGTTAAAGTGGCTCGAGCTGGGGAAGCAGACTGGGAGCTGCACTGGCAGGAACCGCTAACCCGTCGCTGCTCCGCGCGAGTCATGCTGGTGACAAACTCCGACAAAGCATTTGAGGGGGAAAGAGGTGGAGAGAAAATGGTTGAAGGGTAGTGGCTTTAGAAGAAGCACTCTTTGCTGGTTATTGAGATCTTCATGCGAATTCTTACCTGTATTTTCCTAATAGGTGAAGAGGCCAAAAAAGTCTATGATGATGCGCAGAATATGCTGAAAGTGCTGATTAGTGAAAAGAAGCTGCAGGCCAGGGGCGTGGTGGGGTTCTGGCCTGCACAGAGCGTCGAGGACGACATCCACCTGTACGCAGAGGGCACCGAGCCCCGGGCCGCGCAGCCCATAGCCACCTTCTATGGGCTGAGGCAGCAGGTAGGCCAGCCAGGTGGACCGCGAACAGGCTGCTGCTACTTTTTTTGGTTTAAGCACTAAAGTAAAGAAGAATTAAATACGTCTGAGCACTGTACGGATGCTCTGTCCCACCTCACCTCAACGACCAATCACAGGCCCAAGCCCAGGGCCTTTGTGAGGACGGTGGAGAGGAGGTGGCAGCTTGGGGACAGGGGCTGGGCCTCCCGGCAAGGATGAATGCTCTGGTCACGGATGCGTTAGTCGATGCCTGAGAAGCACGGCTGCCGCCCGATCCCGTACGGTGAATATTCATTGGTTCGAGAACACTGGCTTGCAGACGCGCGTGGTATTAAAACAGGCTGGTGGCGCTCTTTCTCAGGGGGAGGCGGGGTGCAGGCCTTGCCGAATGCATGCTGGGTGCCAGTGCTGACAGGGTCGTCCGTGGGCCGTCGCGTCTGACCTCCACACAGCCACGTGTCCACTCTGCGTTCTGTCAGCGCCAGCTCCACCAGGGTCACGAGCCTAGGCTCTTCACAGTTATGCTCCCGCCTCAAATGCAAAGATAGTATGCGGGTCCCTCCATTCTTTCTCTGTGAAAGAATCGTGTCCTGGTCGAGAAGTGGAAGCGGAACCGAATGGTTGTTAACAAAGGGTTGCAGGACATTATTCTCGTAAAGCTTTATGGCCATTTCAGTCATTCAGAAGTAACAGTGTTGCTTTTAATTGTAACCATGAGATCATTCACAATGACATATTTTAACCATAACAACATCTGAAGAGATTCCTTGGGACACTGAACAGCACCACAGCAGGTTGAGTGAGGCAGCCACGTCGCTACTGTCTGCACTCAGGCTCAGACACCCCGAGTATGAGGTGGGCGATCTCGTGTTAAGTTACGGCCCTCCTCTCTAGGGAACTGGTGACTTTCCTTTTACAGGTGTAGCTAAGGCCAAAACCTCTCCTGGCCTGGTTGTTCGTCCTCTGATCTCTGTCCAGCCCCGTTCACGTCCAGGCAGTCTGAGGTGGACCGTGTGAGCACATTTAATAAGTCACTTCTCGGAGGACACGTATCGCGTGTTCACGTAGGAGTCTCTGAGGAGCTGCTTTCTTCCCGTACACTCTGGAGCATCCTGGCTGCAGTGACTTCCTGCTCTGAGTCTCTGTTCTGAGTGGCTCTGATGGCTGTCCCTTCTGAAGTGCAGTGAGGCTCTGTGACCCATCCCCTCTTGTGCCCGGAAGCTTTGTGTCTCCCTCTGGCTTTGTTAGCACAGAGCATTTGATGGGCAGAGTACAGCATGAAGCAGTTCCTCCCTGCATAGCTGGCCGTGAGCTTGGTGACATTTCCATGTGCCATCGTCACACGCCTTGCCTGCCCCATTTTCTACCCAGTGTCAATTAGTACTTGTTCACAGAGCTGGCAAGCAAATAGCTCCCAAGCTTCTGGGTTGGCCACTCACTGATTAACTGACCAGCCCTACGCAGTGCTGCGTGGTGGTCAGGAGGGTTGGTTGTGGTATCGAACCTGTCCTGCCACTCCGACCTTGAGCCAGTGGATCAGAGTCTCTCTGCCTCAGATTTCTTTCTGTGAGGTGGAGTTGATGGTGTCATTTCCTCCACAAGTTTGTTGAGAGGATTAAATTAGTTAATTCATAGAAAGCACCAGAATAGTGCCTGACACATAGTAAGTATTCGGTAAATATTAGTTGTTAGCTGTATTTACATTCTCAGCAAATACTTATTGATCGTGAAATATGTATAAAGTCCTCTTTGGCGGCTTAGTGGCAGAGAAGAGTCCGTCATCAGCTGAAAAGGGAAAACGGGTGAGGAGAGGCACCTGCCTGGTGGAGGGAGTCCACCTTGCATCCAGCGAAGAAGCAGATCCTGCCGAGCGCCTGCTCTGGCCTCAGGCCGGCCCAGGGCTCTGCGCCGCTGTCCCCCGAGCCGCCAGCACCCTGGTGGGAGGCCCGCGGCCCCTGCGTTGCTGACCTGGCAGCTTGTCGAACTGCTCTGTCGGTGAAAAGGAGAGGCTGAGACATCTCGTGGGCCCCTCCTGAACGTAACTGCAGGGCCTAATGTTGATCTTGAATTGAAAACACTTTTTGGTAAAATAATTTTTTTATGAATGTTTAGGGTTCCACTTCCTAGCACAGTGCCAGTGGCATTCAGTAAATGTTCGGTCGGCGTATGAATGAGCCACCTAACTGGTTTCTTCACTGTGTGTGTCATGTCACATATATTTTTTAAAATCTCATTTCATTTGTTTGTTCTACAAATATTTTCGAAGACTGCGCACTGTTCCACTGCTGAGGACAGAACAGTGCGCAGACAGACAGACAGACAGACACACGTCCCTGTTTGAAGCTTGTTTGTGTCCGGGGAGACCGGGCTGCTCTCCGGGTGTGTGGTGCCACACCCGTGCTCACGGCGCCCCCGCCGCCCGTGCATTTGCAGGCGGAGAAGGACTCGGCCAGCGCAGACCCGTACCTCTGCCTCGCCGACTTCGTCGCCCCGCTGCACACGGGCGTCCGCGACCACCTGGGCCTGTTCGCCGTGGCCTGCTTCGGGGTGGAGGAGCTGAGCCGGGCCTACGAGGAGCAGTGCGACGACTACAGCAGCATCATGGTCAAGGCGCTGGGGGACCGGCTGGCGGAGGTGGGGCAGCGGCCGGGGGGCCGGCTGGTGGAGGTGGGGCAGCGGCTGGGGGACCGGCTGGCGGAGGTGGGGCAGCAGCGCCCTGAGGCCAGAGCCCGGGGGCGGGAACGTGCGGTGCCAGGCGGCCCGGAGGAGCAGCCAGGGCTGGTCGTGGGTCCTCAGACTGTCCTGTCACACGCCTCAGGGCGAAAGACCGCTGGGCGGTCGTGGGCGGGCACAGCTAGAACTGTGACTCCACGGTCAGTCCTCTTGTCTCCCTTTGCCTGTCCTGCTCTGACGTTTCCCTGAGCCTGGAAAATGAAAAACAGACTTCGGCTTCAGAATCCTCGCTCTCACGTCGGCACCCTCTGTAGATTCTTTATCTTCCTCTGTGTGGAATGGGGCGACCCCAGTCGTGGGGGGGCGGTCCCCTCTCCTTTTCCCGAGGCTGCCAGTGGGGCATTGAGCAACTGTGGCCCTGCCAGGTTCTCTTTCTGGCCACACTAAACTGTAGACTGGCCATCAGGAGACTTTTTATGTTAAAAATGAGTATGACGCTTCCCAGCCCAGGTTGAGTCAAAATCGATCAGCAGCGCAGCTAGTGAGACCGCAAATGAGTCAGGAACCCAGCCAGCCCCCTCTGGCCAGATCTCCCCGGAGGTCCAGGCTGGGGCGGCACCCGGGCAGGGTAGTGGTCCAGGTGGGATGGGCGGGGGAGGGGGGACAGTGGTCTAGGCTGGGATGATAGTCCGGGATGATAGGCGGTGCCCGGGCGGGGAGTCGGGGCGGGCGGGGTGCTGGTCTGGGCAG